ATTAGATCCTGGCCGTGAAAGCTTTCATGAATATAATGTATATATTACCTTCACTAAATAACGAAATCAGGAGCATGCTATGAAATAAGAAAAATATTAGTGGTTTAGGTATCTGGCTGCAGAGCCAGAGGTTGGAGGTTTGATTCTCCACTCTGCCTCCTACAAGTAGAGCCAGCCTGCGTGGCCTTGAGCAAGTTGTCCATGACAGGATGGAGTCAAAATATCTATCAAAGCAAGTTGCCTCTACCCATGCTTTGACAATATTCCAGTCTCACTGTATCAACTGAATTGACTTGAGAACACACACACACACACACACGCACACGCACACGCACACGCACGCACACACAGACACACACACACAAACTACATTTTGTATATGGTAGTTTCTGAGTCAGAATGTCAGCTATCAAACTATGACATGAACAAGTTAGCAGAGATTTTGAGATATACAGTATCTCAGCTCAGAATATGTACTTCCTGCTTTGTGTCCCAAATAATCGTATATTAACAGTCCATAGGGAGACAGAAGATTAAATAGAAATTGACATTCCTCTGAACGATACTGACCTGAAACTTGAACTGTCTTTGGCCCAGTCTATGGAAACCTAAGAAACAAAATGGAGCTTTTACCTACAAGAAAGGCTCTTCCATTTAAAATGCACTGAGAAGACTGTTGCTTCAGGCTAGCAGCCACAGATCATACACAGATAACAGTGGATTAGCAACTGTTCTTCTCATAGACAAGATCTGAGATTACGTCAGTCAGGCTCGTGATATGGAATAAGAAATACCAGCTTCTGACATCTAAAGTAGATTTCACAACTGCAGCCACTGAATGAGTTGTTTTTGAATTAAAACAGCCACCACAACACTGTCAACTTTGCTTTCTGATGTCTACACTAGCAAAACTTGCCAGACATATTCCCTGCCCATATACCCCACCCCACTTATAAAGCAACAAAGCTGTCATTGTTTTCAAAGCTCTGACAGTGTGCGCGATGCGTTGACCTAAATAAACCACAGAAATTATGTCTTCACTTAGACTAAAGGACAGTGCTTAGTATGTATATGAAACAGGGAGGAGGATTTTAGATAGTTATTTTTAGTTTATTATTGCTGCATATCTTTAGAGGGAACAAAAGCCTAATGAAGACATATGAAGTGAGTAACCATTGAGGACGGAAGGTTTCTTTTCTTGAAGCCATCAAAGGAACAAGTACACAGCTGATACTGGAGGAAATGAGACAAGTTTTTATTATCAGATTTCCATCTGCTATATGGTAAAAATATTTAGGGCTAGATATTTTGCCATTGTAATCTGGCGTAGCACCGTGTACTGACATAACATCAATAAAATTTCATGTGGAAGCGGTGGGCTTCTGTGCTTCAAAAATAAGATGGGGTGAGAGCTGTAGTTAGAAAAGGATGATGGGTTGTTCGGGGGCCTTTTTGAAAAATTTATGTATCATTCATTAAGTGTTGCAGGGCAGCAGTGGGGATGTTTTATTTTGTGACTGATCAGGGCAATGATGGCCATATCTGTTCATTTAACATGATTGAATTTCCCCATCAACATTTACATTTGTAAAATCAACTCCAGGAGGGAGGAACCTCAATCACTTTGCAAAGAAAGTGAGAGAAATCACAATATGACTTTTTCCTCACCTATGTATATAAACCTTTGAAATTTGGGCTTTCACCATGCTAGATCTGGGGTAGAGGGTTGTAAATCTGGCCAAAATGATTGACTGGCCTTTCACAGTGACTTATCCACTTAAATACTGTATGCCACAGAAAAAGAATGTATTCTATGACTTCTTAAAATGAATTATTTTCCATTATCCATTGCATCCTCTGTCTCTTCTATATATACATGCCTAGTTCTTGTCTTGCATGTGTGACCACAAGATGGAGCTAGGTGCCAAGAAGGCTGCACCAAAGGGATGAAGGGAAAATTGCCCTCATAATTTCAGTCAGGTGAATCAGCTGATCTAAGTTGATAACATTACTGATTAGCAATTTTTCATTTAACAAACCACACGATTTTTGGAACTATTGATACCAACATGTTTTGTTTTTTAAATCTATCTTGTGTCTCTAAAATGCAATCACATCCCAGTTATTTAATTTTTAGATATCTTCTGCCTATAATAAACACAGTACTATCTGTTCATAATTTATATCAGAGCCTGTATTTCAGTATCAGACATATTTGTGTACTGGTGGCATTTTTAAATAAAAGTGCCACACATCAGTCAGACCAATAGAATGCTCTGCAATTAAATAAAGCTACAATAATGTTATTTTTCTTGAGAGAAGGATTAGTCCTAGATTGAAATGAAGAGCCATGTTAGCCATACCTGTGTGCATGTTAAATTTATCTCAGCATTTACTTCTGTCATACTATCATAGCACCATTGAGAGTGTCCTAACCTATGGCATTCTGGCATGGTTTGGGAGTAGCTCTGTAGCGGACAAAAAAGCTCTACAGAGAACCATTAAAATTGCCCAGAATATCATCGGGCTCCAGCTACCAACCCTGGATGACATCTTCACATCCCGCTGTCTGAGGAAGTCACACAGCATCCTGACAGACTCTTCCCATCCTGCTTATAACTTTTTTGAACTGTTACCGTCTGGCAGAAGATATAGAACAATTAAGACTCGGACCACACGTTTTCTGAATAGTTTTTATCCCAGAGCTATAATTGCAATTAATAATGAGCTGAAAGACCACCAGTAGTGAATAAGTAGTTGGACTGTGTTACTTGGCCTGTGGTGTAGATGTTTGTATTTCTAGTGGGGGACTTTTAGTGGGTGGGGAGTGTTNNNCTATTATTATTATGTTGATAATGGGCTGACAGCACAGTAGCAAAGCTGGCTGTACGGATTTACATACTAATACTAATCATGTCAACTGTCATGGGGCTGTGTGTCAGTAGTGCTGTATCAGCTGTCACACTGTGCTTTGCTGGAACATTGACATTGTATCTTGAAACATGAAATAGCCTTAGCAGACAGAAGTACTGTAGTAACGTTCCATTTTCTCTCTGATTGTCTATAGGAAGTTCTAAGAGCTTGCTCAACAACCTTCTGTCCTAAAAGGGGCTGATTTCTGCTTTTTTTTAAATAATTATGCAGCCCAGACAAGCCCTTTGTTCACAACTAGCAGTTCTAGGTATTTAGAATACATAAAATATGATACAACGAAGCTGAAGGTCCTGGTAAAGTAGGACATTAGCTTTTAGAATTTGCTACGTATTGTTTTGTAGCTCTAAAATACTTGGGCATGATCCAGCTAAATAAGAACATAAGAAGAGCCCTGCTGGATCGTGCCAAGGGCCCCTCTAGTCCATCTTCCTGTATTTCACAGTGGCCCCAGCAGATGCCTCTGGGAGCACAAGAGACAACTAGATAGCTGACTCCTGATACCACTCCCCTGAATCTGGCATTTTGAAGTACTTTCCTTTTAAGCCTGGAAATTATACATCCCCATCATGGCTTGTAACCTGTGATGGACTTTTCCTCCAGGAATCTGTCCGATCCCCTTTTAGAGGCATCTAGGCCAGATGCCATCACCACATTCTGTGGCAAAGAGTTCTACAGACTAACAACACACTGAGGAAAGAAATATTTTCTTTTGTCTGTTCTCATTTTCCCAACACTCAATTTGAGTGGATGTTCCCTGGTTCTACTACTGTATGAGAGGGAAAAGAGCTTCCCTCTATTCACTTTATCCATCCCTTGCATCATTTTATACATCTCAGTCATGTCCCCCCTCAGGCGCCTTTTCTTTAGCCTAAAGAGCCACAAATGCTGTAGCCTTTCCTCAAAAGGTAGGTGCCTCAGCCCCATTAATCATTTTACTCACTCTCTTCTGCACTCTTTCCATTTCCATTGTCTTTTTTGAGGTACAGCAACCAGAACAGTACACAATACTTCAGGTGCGGCCTTACCAGCATTTTGTACAATGGCATTATAATGTCGGCTGTTTTATTTTCAGTCCCTCTTTTAATGATACCTAGCATGGAATTGGCCTTCTTCACTGCCTCCGCACACTAGGTTGACAGTTTAATCAGCTGTCAACCAGCACACCAAGATCTCTTTCCTGATCTGTCACAGACATCTCAGAACCCGTTAACTGATAACTGCTAACTAAAGTTTTGGTTTTTTTGCCCCAATGTGGATTACTTTACATTTTCCTATATAGTATTGAAATACATTTGCCATCTTGGCACCCATTCTCCCAGTTTAGAGAGATCCTTCTGGAGCTTTCACAATCCCTTCTGGTCTTCAACAACCGGAATAGTTTTGTTTCATCTGCAAACTTTGCCACCTCACTGCTTACCCCTGTCTCCAGGTCATTTATGAAGAGGATGAAAGAATTCTAAAAGAATTCTAAAAGATTTGTGAGGCAAGACTTACTCTTACAGAAGCCATGCTGATTTTCCCTCAGGAAAGCTTGTTCTTCTATGTGTTTTAAGATTATATCTTGGATGAAGCTTTCCATCATCTTCACTGGAACAGACGTTAGGCAAACCAGCCTAGTTTTCCAGATCCCCCCTTTTTTCCTTTTTAAATCTTTGGGAGGTAGGCAGGCCATGGGAGTTGATGTAGGTCTCCAAGATTCAAGAGTGAGTGGAATTTGCTGCCCCTTGCTTTACAGCATATTTGCCTGAAAGTCTCACTGGATAGAAATGTGCAAGATTATACCAGCCTTATTCAGTCTACAGGGCTTTATGTCTTTTCTTCTGATTTTCAAATGGGTAAGAATGAGAATGAAACAAACATGCATAATATTAAAGGAAAACAAGACAACCCCCCTTCCAGAAAAAGAGAGTAAGACTGAGTTGGGCACTAAATGATGAAGTGTTGAAGTAATTGCACTTTTCTTACAGCATATGATCTTTTAGGTTTCCATTCTTTTCAGACATTTGAAAACAAGATGCATTTAGAAGGAAGGACATAAGGTATCAAAGACTGTTTTTTTAAAAACTGAATCCCTCTTTGCACTTGTGCGATATGAGAAAGCAAATTGCTTTAGGAGACAATTTATTTATGAGAAAGCAAAACTTTATTTATTTTTTTTATTTTTATTTTATTTTATTTTTAATTGAGAAGCAGATTTATTGTCAAGTTCAGCCCCCTAGATGGAGCAAATGTAACAACTCAATGCATTTTTACTGTTAACGTGGGCCACAGTTGCACCAGCAAAATGTTTCTGAGTTACTATTTGTGAATTTTGACTTGTTTTTTTTGGGGGGGGGGTTTCAGATAATGCACAGCCATTACCAATTATTTTGTTTTCCCTCCATGCTAACTCTGCATCAAATCCAGCCCACCAGGAGGCTACTAGTACTGTATGTTTATTTTGTGTTTTATCGTGCAGTACAACCAACATTACATTGAGTGTGTACTACTAAACTGAGTAAGTTCCTTTACATCTGACATGCAGTCCCAGTCCCACCTCTCCCACCTACTTTTGATCAGCTGTCTCTTTTTTAAAATTAATTTTCAAATGGGAATGTTGGTGCATTGGTATTCTTCTGTCATATGAACTTGAAGTACAAGCATGTGCTCTGGGTCCTATCCTCCACAGAGTGTA